GAATGGTTATGCTGCAGCCTTTGCACTGGGCTGAGAAGACTACCCTAACCTGCTCCTGTTGACTTCAAAGGGAGCGGGATCGATCCCAAAATGTCATTATCAGCCAGTCCTATGCAGCCAATAATAAATAATCCACATTATTGAATGTACCTCCTTCTGGGAGCAAACTAGTAGCAAAAGCTGTGTTTGTGTTTTGGATTGAGGTTGAGTTGATCTGTGTGAACAATGTTGTTTATTATTTGCAATTTTTAAAAATCTTAGACTATGATATTTTCAAAGATTGATTTAAATAAAATTTTGAAGTATAAAATAGCATTGCTTAAGTGTGATATGAATTTCTTACTGAAAACAAAAGTTTGGGGGAGGAAGAAGTTGTAGATACTCTGCCCACAGTCCTGTAACAAACATACTTCTGCTAAACTAGTCAGCAAGGAAATAGTAATTAGTATCCTGAAACTTGTAAGATGAACAGGGATTCTTCTTAGAGCAAGTTTGTTCTCCTGTATCTTCAGATTCAGGTAACACTACATCAGCAGTTTTCAGTTATGGACTGTCTCCTGCTCTCCAGCTCCTCCCTCCTTATAAAAATCTAATTGCTTTCTACAATATCAGAGGATGAGGTTGTGATCCAAGCGAAGTTCCCTAGTTTTTGCATTTTCTCAATCAATGTTGCAGTGGGCAATGGCTGATATTTCTGGGGATACCTCTGTACTTGCAGATTTAGGTACTGTATCCCTGTGTTAGAAAACAGTTCTCAAGTGCTTTGAATATCATGGCATAGGGCTGGGGCTCTGCCCTCTGGGGCTTTTCCTTGGGAGAGCATCTTCAGCTGCCTGAAAATCCAGGCAGACAAGGGAGTGACCATGAAGCTCAGATCAGTAGGATTTGTGTTGTAGCCCACTCAGCCTTGGGTCTGGCCAAGCCCTGCACCCCCCTGGCCACGGGGGGCCTGGGTTCCTGCATGGGGTGAGTGGATGCACTCAGGGCTCCAGCAGCACCAGCTTGTCGTACTGTGAGATTGTCAGGGGGACTAACCAGCAGGCAACTACACTGGGCTGTGGCCACTGTTAGGCTGGCTCTGCGCTGTTCATGTACAAGCACAGTGCCCTGGGCCTTCGTGAGGAGAGAGGGCAGCCACGAGACCAGAGCAGTACCCTGCCCACAACCCAGCGCCTCCAGGCCTTATCAGTGAATGCAACGGTGAGCCCCACATAGTGCTGTCATCCTGGTCCCGCCTCACCCCACAGATCCCAGCCAGAGCCGTGCTGTCTCCCATCAGGCCCTGCACCAGCAACAAGGAAGAGTCCCATGGAGCCCCAAGCCAGCTACAGCCCCTGCTTCCAGGGCAAGGGGGCACACAGCTACAGCTCCCACCCCGCAAGGCTTAGTGCAAGGTGCTAAGCCCTGGTGCAGGTGGGGGCCTGTGGGCACGAAAGACAGGCTGACCCCTCACCCTGGCATTGGGGCTCACCTGGGCTGCAGGATGGTGCATTGTGGCCTCCACCAGTGGCCACTGAAAATCAATATACAGAGGTGCCCTGGCCCCCAACTTCTCTGTGCCCTCCTTCCCACCCCATCCCATCCAGTGCCATGAGGTAGGCATAATGCGAGCAGGGGAGGGAGGCCCTACACTGAGGCTGAGCCAGTGCCTAATTACTGGGGTGGGGGGCAGAGGCTTGGCCCTTGCTCATGGCTGGGGGCCGCTCTCTCACCACCACCCCCCTCACCCCACAGGCATCTGCTGCCTGGGAGGAATGCCCAGCTCAGCACTTGAGAGCTGCCTTGCCTGGGGTGAGCCATCTCCACTTGCCCTGCCCGGCTCTGGCTCGGACCCCGGCTGTCCCAAGAGAGGCTGTGGGATCACAGCCAGGTGACCAATGTCCAGCTCCTGTTCCTGCTCCTGTGTCTCATGACAGGTAGGCCCTTTATGGAAAGCCTCTTGCCAGCCCCAAAGTGAGGAAACAGGTCTGACTGACCGGTGAAGCTGGATTGGGCTGACAGGCTGAAGGGGAGCTGCTTTGGCACATGGCTCTAAGCCGCTTCCCGGCTGAGTGCAGATCTGAGCCTATCCGACCCAGGCAGGGCCTGGAACACCTGCTGTTCCCATGTGCCATGGGCAGGGCCTACCACCACATTGGGCACCAGCTGAGCACTGCCAGAGCTCCTGGGGCTGGGAACCTCCTGACCAGGGCAGGGCAGAGGTTTGCACCTGAGGCACCAGCAGGCTCCTGTCATGACTCACATAGGCTGCCTGGGTTCATTTGTCCTGCCCAGTATGGCAGTGGTCTGTCCCTCTGCCAGCCCTGGCAGCACCCATGCAGATCAGTGTGAGGGGCCAGCAGGTGCTGTACTTGGCTAAGGGGCCAAGCCCCCAGCAGCTCCCAGCAGCCTGTGCGCCACAGGCCTAGTTCTCCTGCTCCAGGGCTGCGTCTCCCAGGAGGGCTGCATCCAGTCCCTGGGTGTCCCTTCCCACTGTCACTGAGGGCAGCAGCTCTTCCCTGCAGTTCCTGACCTACCGCCACCAACAGGTGAGCTACATGGGCACCCTGGGCCTGCGGCACAGCATAATGTTCATGCAGAAGGACCTGAGCCGGCACAGCACCTCCATCAAGCTGGTGCACACTCAAGTGTTAAACATGGCCACCTACCCGAACTGGCCCCACCTGAAAGTCAGCTGACCCCACTACCCCTAATCCCTGCTGGACATTTGAGGGAAGCCTACCCCCCAGCACATGCTTTGCCTGTCCGTCTGCAAATCTGGGTCTGTCTGTCTCTGAGCCCAGCTGGACTCCCTAGGCTGACACGGCCTGTTTCTGCCCTGAACAGAAACTGGCCACCCCGCAGTGCTGGACAGAGCAGGAGCAGGCCAAGGGCAGCAGCAGCATCCTGAAGTGCTACTGCTGGGGCAGCGGTTTTGCTCCCCTCTCCTACCAGAGTGGAGGAGGACTGTGCTGTGGGGGCCTGCCCCTGGGCACAGGACAGGGGGAGCAGTGCAGGGCCCTGAGAGTCAGGCGCTCCCGGCTGAGCGCTTGGGGGACAGGTGGCCTGAGGCCATGGGTGGTGGAGGTGGGAGTGCTCCCTGTGCTGAGCTGGGAGCATTCCCTTGGCTGCACCAGGCACACAAGTGCCCCAGACCTCAGCTCCAGTCTGGCCAGAGGAGCTGGCTCTGAGTGAAGCAACATGTGAATTGGGGGTGGGGCTAGCAGTACCAGGGGCTCCTCCAGGAGCTCCAGGGGCTCAGGGATTTCCCAGGGGACAGGGAAGCTGAAGCCCTGGCCATGAGAGATGCTGGGAGCTGCACTCGGGCCATGTCTCTCCTGGGCAGGGCATGCCCTGAGGGACCTGTAAATCCAGACCAGACACAGCAGCAAGCAGGAACCTACGGATGCCATGTGGCCAACTGTGTGGGTGAAGTGTGGGGGTGCCAGGATCAGGAGGCCGTATTGGGGCTCTGAGCCAGAACAGGACTGCACTGACACCTGTGCCAAGCATCTGGTGGGAGCCTCTTGAAGGAGAGCTGATGCCAGACTGGGCTGGAAGCAGAAGGGACCAGGTGCCACAGAGCCTGAGGGCATGCAATAACCCAGCAGCCCCTGAGCAAGGCACAGAGGGGCCAGACCCTGAGCTCAGCACAGCATTTCTCACTGAGGGCAAGGAAGATGCCTCCTCCCTGCCACCCCTACATGGGGCCTGAGTCCCATGACCAGCTGTCACAAAGTCCACATCCCCCCAGCCGGGGACAGGGATGGGCTCCCTGCATGCTCTGTCCCATGCTGAAGGCTGCGACCAAAGGTAGTCCCAGGGTTAATCCAGATGGGTTCAGTCCATGGGCTGCCCAGGAGGGCGCACTCCACCTGGAGCAGGGGGTCTCTGGGTTGGGTGATGTGAGTCCTGCCCTGTGCCAGGGTGTGTATGGGCTCAGAAGACAGGGCACTGTAGGGTGCCTGGGCGGGCATCCACATGCTCCCTACATAGCCCATGAGAGGAGGTAACAGGTGAGCTCCTTGTCTGCAGGTGCAGTGTGGGTGGGAGTCATCGTGGGCTCCATCTTGGGGGCCCTGCTCTTCCTGATCATGCTCATTGTGCCCATTGGGGACTTGCTGCAAGGTGACTGACAGAGCCCTGCTGGCGAGAGGTGCCTGGGGCAGCAGGTAATGCCCCTGTGACAGGAGGTGCAGGGCCCCCCAGGTCAGTTCAGCACAGGAAGGGGGTTGGCCTCCTTTGCTGTGGGGCAGCTGTCTTCTATCTGCCTGGGGGGCTGATGGGCATGTTTCAACCAGCTCCTCCATAGCTTTATCTAGGGGGGTTCAGACAGGACTGATCCTGCCCTGAGCGGGGGCTGGGTTAGACGGGCCCTCCTGAGGGCCATGCCAGCCCGGCTCTGCTAGGACTCTCTGATCTGTGTGGGGTCCCACCCCAGACTGCTGCAGACCCTGAAACACCATGTCCATGGCTCCTTGCGCCCATCTGAGCCTTCAGCCAGTGTCTCCCCATGGAGAGGAGAAAGACCCACTTGGTGTTAATGGTTTAGGGCTGAATCTGATCGTGCTTGGACACTTGAGGCCCAGTGAGAGGCCTTTTGTAGTTGGGGGGAAAAGGGGAGGCAGGATGTAGCCCAGGGTCCCTGCCCAACTGCCATGTACAGGGCTTGACACAAGCTGCTTTGTGATGTAGCTCCCATGTCATTCCATTGCCGTGGAGACCAGGGATGAGCAGGGAATAAGTCCTAGCCCCCGGTGCTTTCTGGTCAGTCTTGGCGCAACCCAAAAGACTCACCTAAGGTGTAGGGAGAGGTTTTGTTTGTTGGAAAGAGTTAGAGTTAGGAGATTAGATTAGATAGATTAGAAACAGCAGATATAGAGAAAGTAGCTAGTAGAGAGTTGTAGAGAATTTAGAGGTACTAGAGTAGATAGTAAATAGGAGAGCAGGTAGAAGGAGGAGTTAAGCATAGCTAGATAGACTAGAATAGAGTAAATAGAATAAGTAATAGATCTAGAGTGATGATACATAGGGAAGAGCTCGGGTTCCCAGGGTCTTGTGGTCTCAGCACTTGGTTACTTGCTCCCATCTCTCTCCCATTTCTGACCAGCTGCTCTAGTCCGGGCGGCAGGGAGAGACAGCTGAGAGACTGCCCAGTGTGGGTAAGGGGCCAGCAATACCTTGGGGTTTTGCAACAAGGTATGAGGGTATCATGGG